CGCCGGCATCGTCACGATCTCGCCGATGCTGTGCCCGTCCACGTGCTCCGCGAGCACCCAGGCGACGGCGGGGGCAGCTGGCGCGGCACCGCCCGCGGCGGCGCCGGGCGCGCCAGGGGCCAGACCGCCGGCCCCCCCTGCGGCCCCACGCGCGCCACGGAGGCCGACGACGCCGATCGCCTCGGCCAGCAACTGGTCTATCTCCGCGTCGGTCGGCGGCTGCCGAAATCGATGCAGCTGAGCACCGCCAAGTCCCAGCGGCAGCTCCCCGTTATCGCCCAAGAACCTCACCGTCTCGAACACATTCTGGTCGCTCATGTCCTCGTCGTAAACATCAAAGCCAGGGGGCGCGATCGTGACCAGTCCCCCAACCATATCATTCAGGAACAGTCGCTCGTGTGACAGCTCCTCGCCCGCGCCCGCGTACCTCACTAGCGCACGCCATAACATCGTTCCCCCTGGCCCCGTCGGCAACGGCCAACCGTCCGCTCCCCGCACTCGTGGTCCCGGTGGAGGTGGCGGGCCGACTGCCAAACCAACCAACGCCATACTGTACGCACGTGACGGTCACCTGCAGCACGGAGAAGAACAAACAGACGAGCGCACAACCGACGAGCTGCCAAGACTGGTGACCCCCGCTTGGAGCCGCGACCGCCTCACACTTGCAGTGACAATGGCAGACCGGCTCCGGGATGTCTGGGCAATGGACCTCCGCCCGTCCTGCCGCCCGCGCCGCCTCGGTCGCGTCTGAGACCGCGCCTCGCAGCACCCACGCCGAGAAGGCTGCGATCACACCGCTGGTCGCGGCGGGCGCGGAGGCGGCGGCGGCGAGGAGGCCCCAGACCATCCACCCGCGGGGAAGGTCCGTGCGCACCTGCTGCGCAGCAAAAAACCTTGAGGGTTGAAAACGGCCGCGGGGAGGCACGATCAATGCTGTGCACCGCACTTTCATCATCATCATCATCATCATCATCATCATCATCATCATCATCATCAGCAGCATCAGCAGCATCATCAGCATCGTAATCTCATCGTCATCCGCATCATCAGCATCATCATCATCACCATCAGCCTCACCCTCACCCTGACCATCATCACCATCACAATCACCATCACTAACATCATCAACACCATCATCACCACATCTCTCCCAATCCTGGAGACACGAAATGTCACACGTGACTGCCTCCCGTGCTGGCACGGTGGCGGGATTTGCCGCAAGCAGCTGCCTAGCACCGCATAGGTTGCACATCCCGTAGATTGCATCCCATCTATTGCACAACATAGGCTGCAACACGTGGGTTGCACCGTGCACATGCTTCACCATACAGACTGCACATCGAGAGTGCACGAGCCTACCAATCGGGGTCCACGCGGGCAGGCCTTTCTTGTGGAAACACGGGCGGAGTGATTTTTCATAACGTGACACACACACACACATCTCAACTACGTTTAGCATGAAGAAGCTGGTCCTAAGGGAAGCGGGTCCTGGACCCTGGTGCCTTCCCCACGAAATTCATCCTGAGCAATTTTCTGATAGTCCCGGGGCCCGTGGAGGGCCCCGGGAGGCCAAACATAGCGAAAACCTCAGGACCCGTTGCCTTCAGGACCCGCTTTCCCTCTGGCGATCCCAGGTAGGCCCCCGACACCGAAACCTTCAGTCGGACCCAGGCCAGAAGAACCTCCCTCAAGAGTTTGAGACCCTCCGTCGCCCAAAACAGACAGAACATCCAAAGATACCCTCCCCAGGATGCACAAGAACCTCCCACGAGCACGAAGAACATGAGGGTACCCTCCCCGAACCGACCTCGATTTTCTATCTTCGACTACGCGCAAGAGCGACCCTGGGTATTTAAGAGTGACCTTTGGTGCGCGGCTGAACGGGGGACGCGGGGTGGCCAAACCTGGGCGCGCGAGCTGCTACCGTTTCGCGTTCAGCGATCGGAGGGCCCCATTGGGCCCGCACCAAAGGTCACTCTGGCGAAAGGCCACTCCTACGTCTAGTCTTAAGTCTGTCATGTCCTCCTACAGACGGTTTTTGGAAGAAAAACGGCGCGCGCCAGGGGCGGTGAAGGAGGTGCCGCCGGGGGGTCCCAGCGCGGATCCAAGAAATCCGCGCGGAGAAAAAATAAAGGCGACTATCATGCTGGGAGGAAGGGACTGGGACGATACAGACAACCCGCATGATAAGGAGGCGTGACAAGAATGCAAGGACCTGGGAAGGCCACGTCGACGCTCTGCGAGTGGGGCTCGGCCAGCGGAAGCGGCCGAGGATGGGCCGAAGGGGGAAGGATGTAAGGGCACCCTTGGAAAAGTCGATTATCCTTACTATGCGGGTCGACTGTATAGGGCACGACTGTGTAAGAGACGCAGTCGACACGCGCGATGACGGGTATGATCTGGTCATTTCTCCCAGCCCCAACCCCCCCAACCCTATACTTGTCTTTCGGATCCGCGCTGGACGACGCACGGCCATCCTGGCGCTCGCGCGCCGCCCCTTCCCCCCGCTCCCCCTAGAGGGGCCCAGGGAGACACAAACAAGTCGACACACACTCTAGGATTCCCTATACTTTCCTCTTTCTTTTGACTGGGAATCCGAATCTATTTGTATCAATGCTGATCTTTCCCTACTGACACTCCTGGAGAAGGACGGCCAACTGTGGCGCCAGCCCGTCGCGTGCCTGGCGAAGGTATACTACTCTGCGACCCCGCGGTTGACCTGAGCAGTGCACGCGGGGCTTTGGGGCTTGGGACCCCCAACTCGTCGGCGGGCCTGGGGGGGAAGTGAGCAAGGGCGGGCCTTCTTAAAGGCCTGGAAGGCCTCGGACCTTCCAAGAAGATTTCCAAGCCTCCCCCGAAGACTTAAAGGCCTCCTAGATGGGGTCCGAATAGGTGGGGTCGGAGAATCGTCGACGCCGGCGGTGCATCGGCGACGTCGTCGTGAAGCAAATCGGGGATGCGGAGGCGCATCGTCAATACATCGGCGATGTGGCGCGACCCTCCGACCCCAACTACTCCGACCCCGTCTGGGGGCCTAGAAAGACACAGGGAACTGCTCACAAGACCGGAGGGCCTCTGAGATGCCCCGCCGCCTTCCGAGAAGGCTTGCCCCCTCGCACTTCCGCCCCCTGGGCGCGCCGCCGACCAACGTTCTCATGCGCGCTGCGCTCCGCCGAGGCGCTGTGTGTGTGTGTGTGTGTGTGTGTGTGTGTGGGTCGCGGCTTAATTAGAAATTGCATGCCCCACATTTGTTCTATCCGCCAACGCAGTCACTCTGCCTAGCCGCCGACGCAAAAAAATGCGTGTGTGTGTTTGTGTGTGTGTGTGTGTGTTTGTGTGTGTGTGTGTTGTGGGGGGGCCCTCCGGCCTAGGGAGCGGCCGCTTGCACGCCAAAGGGACCGTGCAGGCAAGAGTGGCCTTTAGCGCAAGGCTTTCGGGGAGCTGCAGAATTTTCGTGTTCCCCCCATTTCCCCCACCCCTCCCGCGGACGGACGTCCAGACCGTTATGCCCCGAATCGGAATCGACGCTTGCTTGTTGTTGTTTAACCTCTGTACGGGGAGAGGGGGGGTGGGGCAGGTCCAGGGAGCAAGCCGATGCTGGCGGGATCCCTCTGGGCCCGCACCGCACGCCACTCAGGCGAAGGCTCCCTGCTCTGAACAGGGGCCGACCGTCCCGGCATTCCTGGAAGCCTGCCACCATGTTCGTAAAACAACTGAATGTGCTCTGAGAACAAGGTCAATGCTCTTAGAACGCAGAACCGGTGTATTAAAACAAAACGGTCGCAGCCAGACATGTTCTAAGACATGTCGTGTAAACCGCAACATTCTCTGGTGGGCCTAAAGACAAGCCGTGGGGGCTCGTCACTGCTTGACTCCTGCGCGGAGCCAGAACAGGACTCCCAAAGGTCCAGGCTTGGGAAGGCCCGTTGGCCTGACCTCGCGACGCACCACAACTGGGTCTGTGCGTGCTGGCGCGGCGCGACGTGGGGTGTGCCCGCGCGAGCCCAGCACCCTCGACACGCCTGGTGGAGCTGAAAGCCTGTGTGCGTGCGTGCGCGCCCAGGCGAGCGCGCGCCGGGTGTCCTCCTCCCCCTCCTGGCTTCTCTTCCTCCTCCTCCTTCTTATTCCTCCTCCGCTTCCTCTTCATCCTTACTCCTCCGCCTCCCCCGCCTCTCTCGTGCTCTTCCCCTCCTTACGATCGGTTCTTCCTCCTGTGTCCGGGTCCGAGGCTTGCCAAGGGCCACGCACGTCCTAAAACGCGACCCACCCCTTCCGCCCCCTCCATCCTACTCCTGCTCCACCTGCAACTGGGACGGGAGCAATATCATGGCATTATTGGCTCAGGATGCGTCGCAAGACTTCCAGAGTGTCTGGCAGCCCTCGTTTCTGCAGCCCGTGTGGAACATCAGGGAGCCCAGGAAATCTGGGAAATGCTGAAAATCTTCGAACATATCACTATCATGACCCCTTGCTCCTCTGATCGGTTGTTGATAGAAGTATCTCTGGCCCAAGGTGCCCCAGGATTTCCAAGGTCCCCATGGCCTCCAGAGCACCCCTCACGAAGCTCAGAAAGCCCCAAGGCTTTGTGGGCCCCGGAAACAGCAAGGCCGTTTTTTCACCGGTTCCGTTTTGCCGTTTTTGTTGCCGGTTCCGACGCCGTTTTTTTAACCAGTTCCGTCGCCGTTTTTTGACCGGTTCCGGCTCCAGTCCACCTTTAGCAACCCCCGATCTGGGCCCTCCGCCCTCCTCCCCAGCTTGCGCTTTTAGGCGCGGCACGGCGGCCCTGGTCTTAGGTCGGGCGTGTCCTCCTACAGGGGGACTCTGGACGAAACATGAAAAAGGTCCCCAAAATATATAAACATTGTCAGAACGGGTCCAAACATCGTCCCCAGGCTATTATTGGACTGCTCTGGAATTGTCCTCCCGTAGAGGGACGTGCCCGACTCAACCCCGGTCTGCACCGCGCGCCCGGCCGGCGCCGCTGCCCGTGGCGGCGAGGCTCAGCCCAGGGGCGCCTGCGGCTCGTCCAGGCCTGGGCCTCCCGAGGCCTGGGCGGCCAGACGGCCTGACGCCTCCTGCGCCGTGGGCCTCCGGATCTCCACCCAGACGTAGCGCTCGTGGGGGTTCTCCTCCGGGCTGGGGTGGGCCCGCAGCGCGGCCCGCACCTCGGCCGCGAGCCCGGCGTCCAGGAGGTAGGCGCTCACGTCGACGCGGAGCTCGGGGCTCCAGATGACGAAGGCCGCCCCGCGCTCCGCGCCCTCCTCCACGTCGAAAGCCCACTGGTGCAGGCCGTTGCGGAACTGCCCGGCCACCCCCTCGTTGCGGGCGTGCCTCAGCAGCACCCAGCCGCCAGGCCTCGCCACCTGCAGCATCCGCGTGATGGCGAGCAGCGGGTCGAAGGCGTGGTCCAAGGAGTTCCTCATGTGCACCACGTCGAAGTGGCCCAGCGGGAAGCAGGTGTGCAGGCTCTCCGACGGGCACTGCAGCGGGGTGTGCGGAGGCGTCATGCCGCGCTCATCGAACACCGAATTGTAGAAGCGCGCAAGCCCGTCGGACGCGACCACGGGGACAGGCCACGGGACCCTGCGATGCGGGCCGTCCTGCCCAGCAGCCGCTGGCTCGACGCCAGCTCCCCCAGGCAGCCCCCCGCTGGGCAGCTCGCACTCCAGTGGCCTGGGGGCGAAGGGCCCAGATCCCGCGTTCAAGATGCGCGGGCTCCTCGGCTGGGCGCCCTCTCCAGAAGCGGCCCTGCGCTCCACCGCGTCGCGGACGAACCCACAGACCTGGTCGTCCTCCAGGAACCATGTCAGCTGCCCCGTGGCGAGCCACCGCTGGAGCCGCTCGAGGCCGGCCTCGTTCTCGTGCGGGTCGAGCGACAGCTTTTTTCGCCAGAACTCGGCCTCCATCTCCAGCCCCCGTGTCCACCTCGTCCGCGCACGGAGCAGTAAGCGACGCACGGGCGGCAGGGGCGGCAGAGGGACCGCGGGCGGGTCCAGCCTGGAGGGTGGCGGCACCTCCGACCCCGCGCTGGCAATTGCCGCCCAGCCGCGGCTCCAGAGGAAGGCCGCTGGGTTTTCGGTGAAGATGGTAGGGCGAAGAGATCTACACATATCCACTGCTCCCTGGCCAGGCCCATCCTGAACCCAGCAGCTGTGTATACGCCATTCTGGCCAAGCCAGGAGGGCGTCGCGTAGACACCGCTGCCGCGTTGAGGATGGGCGTGGCCAGGGAGCGGTGGTTATGTGTAGATCTCGTCGCCCTTGATGGCGTAGTTCTCCATCACCTCGTCCAGACTGAAGGGCCACGGAGAGGCGTCGAGGCAGTGCAGGCAGAACTCGAGCGCGCTGGGCACGAAGCCCATCATGGTCCGCAGCTCCTCCAGCCTGCCGCCGGCATCAAGCCCGAGACTTCCCCCTGGTGCCGCGGCCGCGTCTGGGGAGCGCTCCCTGCCGGGGCACGGACTCATGTAGTACGTCCGGTAGTCGTCGCCCTGGTCACCCTTGCTGACGAGCGGGTCGTCTGCGCTCACGCACCTCGACTTCATGTGGCACCCGTTGGGGCCGTGGGCGAGCGACAGGCAACCAGGATTCTGCGAGCACGCCGCGAGGCACTCGGCCAAGGGCACCGGCCCGAAGATGTCACCCACCGCTTCCCCCTCCTGCCGCACCACGCGCTCTGTGCTCCGCCAACTCCAAGCAGCACTGCCTCCTGGCTCCTTCTCGCGCACGGGGCCCGTCCGCGACCGCGCCTGCAGCGCCTGCAGCGCCGAAGACTGGGCACAGACCGCCACCATGGACAGCAGGCCTGCGGGACAATCGCTGTGCAGAGTGAACGACGCATCCGTAGGGTCCACCGTGATGATCCGGAAGATGACAGGGTAGGCGACCCCGCAGAGCCCGTGGACCCACTCGCCGCCGAAGCCGGGGTCCCGCGCGAGGCCCGAGTGCAGCTCGGTGTGGAAGCTGGCCCACAGGCTCCGGTGCCGACTCCCGCCGCAGAAACACTGCCGGTCCGACAGCTGCCGGTGGAAGAGGTCCTCCGACTTCAGCGCCGGGCCCGTGGGCGACTGGCCACCCCGCGAGGGCCAGGAGGAGCCCGGTTTTTGTTTTCGGTGCTCGCGTGGTCGGCGCTACTTCAATGCTGGCATGGGGTGTTCGGCCCAGACGCAGGTGTCCGAAATCCCGCAGTACCCTCACAGATTTGAAGGATGCGTTTTTTGACAAGTGCCCGAACTATCGGGTGCTTCGATTCTGATCAGCTTTTCTGTATTTTTGACGAGGCTTGTAGGGAAAGCCGAGCAGGCCCTCCTGAGGCCAGGTCAAGTGCGGCAGCCACCAGTTTAGTCCCAGAGAGGTCTGCCCTGCAACTGCCTCTCTCTCTCTGTCTTGTGCGGCACGGATCTTGCCATCACTCGGACGTCCATTCCCCGTGCATGCTCCGGCCCCTTGCGTGCACTTTCAGCCAGCTGATCCAAGATGGTCCTCGAGGGCCCTCGCCGAGGCACAGATGCGCACGACCGAGCGATGCCAAAGGGTGATGCCATGGTAGGACCGGCTCAGGAGACGTTCCAGGATTTCGAGAGCATCCAGCGGCCCTCGTCTCTGGCGCCTGGGCACGGCCACGGAGGATCTTGCAAACCTGCAGAATCTTGGGCCGTATCATTACCCATCGGTCGGAAGAAGTAGGTAGCGACCCACCCGCGACCTACCCACATTGGTTTGACGAAAAAATCGGCGCCTGCGGCGGGCTCGTTGTATAATTTGTGGGACTTTGGCGACTGCGGCGGGCTTCTCCAGAGTCTCGCAGACTGCCGACGTCTCCGATACCCCCTCACTCTTATGCGCATCTGCGGGGGGCTACGATTACCCAACGGTCGAAAGAAGTAGGTAGAAACATGAAGCAAGAAGGTGTTGAAAGTAGATTGGGTGTCCGCCCGGCCCCCTCATGAGGAGGGAAGAGGGGACGCCGCTCGATCATGGAAGCAGGAAGGCGCTGGAAGTAGATGGGACTCAGGGAATGAATCCAAAATTGCCCTGCCGACGTACCCAACCCTTGCGCAATGCGGGGCATAAGTACATCAGGATTGCTACAATGGGGGCGATGACGTAACATGGACGCATGTGATTTTGCGAGCAGCAATCGGAAGGCTCGCAGGCCCCCGATCCAGATACAAGGGCGTCGTAGTGGTTACTAACGCAGCCCCCCCAGGGACGGCGAGGTCTCGCTCAGGTCCCCGCAGTGCCTCACTCCGCTGGACCCAACAGCAGCCCTCGAAAGTGGCGACCGTGTCGCAGATCGCAGCCCCCCAGGGACGGCGAGGTCTCGCTCAGATCCCCGCGGTGCCTCAGCCCGCATGACCCACCAGCAGCCCTCGAAAGTGGCGACAATGTCGCAGATCGCGGCCCCCCAGGGACGGCGAGGTCTCGGCCAGATCCCCGCGGTGCCTCAGTCCGCAGGACCCACCAGCAGCCCTCGAAAGTGGCGACCGTGTCGCAGATCGCAGCCCCCCAGGGACGGCGAGGTCTCGCTCAGATCTCCGCGGCGCCTCAGTCCGCAGGACCCACCATCAGCCCTCGAAAGTGGCGACAGTGTCGCAGATCGCAGCCCCCCAGGGACGGCGAGGTCTCGCTCAGATCTCCACGGTGCCTCAGTCCGCAGGACCCACCAGCAGCCCTCGAAAGTGGCGACCGTGTCGCAGATCGCAGCCCCCCAGGGACGGCGAGGTCACGCTCAGATCCCCACGGTGCCTCAGCCCGCAGGACCCACCAGCAGCCCTCGAAAGTGGCGACAATGTCGCAGATCGCGGCCCCCCAGGGACGGCGAGGTCTCGCTCAGATCTCAGCGGTGCCTCAGTCCGCTGGACCCACCAGCAGCCTTCGAAAGCGGCGACCGTGTCGCAGATCGCAGCCCCCCAGGGACGGCGAGGTCTCGCTCAGGTCCCCGCGGTGCCTCACTCCGCAGGCCCCACCGGCAGCCCTCGAAAGTGGCGACCGTGTCGCAGATCGAAGCCCCCCAAGGACGGCGAGGTCTCGCTCAGATCTCCGCGGTGCCTCAGTCCGCTGGACCCACCAGCAACCCTCGAAAGTGGCGACCGTGTCGGAGATCGCAGCCCCCCAGGGACGGCGAGGTCTCGCTCAGATCCTCACGGTGCCTCAATCCGCAGGCCCAACCAGCAGCCCTCGAAAGTGGCGACAATGTCGCAGATCGCAGCCCCCCAGGGACGGCGAGGTCTCGCTCAGATCCCCGCGGTGCCCCAGTCCGCAGGACCCACCAGCAGCCCTCGAAAGTGGCGACACAGCCCCCCAGGGACGGCGCCCCCCCCCCCCACACACACACACAACACACACACACACACACACACACACACACACACACACACCACAACACACACCCACACCACACCCACACCCACACCCACACCCACACCACCCACACCACACCACCACAACCCCCACACACCCACACCCACACCCACACCCACACCCACACCCACACCCCACACCCACACCCACCCACACCCACACCCACACCACACCCACACCCACACCCACACCACACCCACACCCACACCCCACACCCCACCCACCCCACACCCACACACACACACCCACACACCACCCACACACCCACACACCCACCACACACAACACACCCAACCACACACACACCCCACAACACGCACACGCACACGCACACGCACGCGCACGCACGCGCACGCACACGCACACACACGCACCGCACACACACACCGCACGCACACACGCACACACACACGCACACACGCACACGCACACACGCACACACGCACACACGCACACACGCACACACGCACACAACACACACACACGCACACACGCACACACGCACACACGCACACACGCACACACGCACACACGCACACACGCACACACGCACGCACACACACACACACACACACACACGCACACGCGCACACGCACACAAACAAACACACACACACACACACATGCACGCGCGCACACACACAGAAACACACACACACACACACGCGCACACACACGCACGCACACAGAGACAGACGCAGACACAGAGACAGACACAAACACAGACACAGACACAGACACAGACACAGACACACACACACACGCGCGCACACAAACACATTCTCAAACGCAATGAAACACACAGACACGCGCACACACACACACACACACACACACACACACACACACGCACACACGCACACACACAGACACAGACACAGACACAGACACAGACGCAGACACAGACACAGACACAGACACAAACACACGCACGCACACGCGCACACACACGCACACGCGCACACGCACACAAACAAACACACACACACACACACATGCACGCGCGCACACACACAGAAACACACACACACACACACGCGCACACACACGCACGCACACAGAGACAGACGCAGACACAGAGACAGACACAAACACAGACACAGACACAGACACAGACACAGACACACACACACACGCGCGCACACAAACACATTCTCAAACGCAATGAAACACACAGACACGCGCACACACACACACACACACACACACACACACACACACGCACACACGCACACACACAGACACAGACACAGACACAGACACAGACGCAGACACAGACACAGACACAGACACAAACACACACACACAAAACACACGAGGTACGCACAAGACAAGAGGAGACAAGACGGAAGCGGAAGATGGCAGGCGGGAGAAGGAGGAGAAGGACGCGACCATAGTGCTCTATTCAAAACGAATACCCAACCAAGGAGGGTTCGGAAATACCCACATTCAAAGACCGATGGGTATCATGCCTCCTTGCTCCTCTGCTCTCTTTGGCCCTCGGCCATGCCCGGCCCCCCCCGCCCACACACACACACCTGGCC